CTCGGCAACGTGCCGAGGTGCGACCACGGTGCACCCCGGTGCTGTGCCGTGGTGCGTTAGGCCTAATTGTTTTTTTTTGGCCATGTGTTAGCCTCTTCGACATAGTCCTACGAGGCTATGTCATCGGGCTCTCCCGTCGGGTTTGGTACGCGAGGTCGGACCTCGTGCCCCCTTAGGGTACGTTAGCCGCTCGGGCTAAGTCCTTCCGGACTACGCCACCGGGCTCTTCCGTCAGGGTTTGTACGCGAGGTCGGACCTCGTGCCCCCTTAGGGTGCGCCAAACCGCTCGGGCCCAGTCCTATCGCACCAAGCCACCAGGCTCCTCTGTCGGGGTTTGTACGCGAGGTTAGACATCGTGCCCCCTTAGGGTACGCGTTAGCTGCTCAGGCACAGTCCGACAGGACTGTGCCACCAGGCTCTTCCGTCGGGGTTGGTACGCGAGGTCGGCCCTCGTGTCCCCTTAGGGTGCGTCCTCCGTCGGGGTTGGTACGCGAGGTCAGACCTCGTGCCCCCTTAGGGTTCGCGGGGGGGGGGGGGGGGGGAGACATGAGTGAGCACTCGTTCCCTCCTGTTTCATGATTTTTTCTTTTTTCTTTTTTTTTTTAAGAGAGAGAAAATGCATGAGAACCAACTTTGTAACAAAAGGTCCTACGCACAATGTATTTCGTAACATGCGATTTTATTCCGACTACTGCCGCTCACTAAGACATTATTGAGGGAGGGGAATGGCCCTCCTCCTAGAATAGCAACGCCAAGACCCACCTCTCACGTGGTAGGTCTACTGGTAGAATTTCAGCAGATGCTCTGAGTTCCAGACCCTGGCTATCATCTTTCCTTTGGGAGTTTTGAGCTTGTAGCTGCCCGGGCGGACCACGGCTGCTACAATGTACGGGCCCTCCCAATTAGCGGTAAACTTTCCTCCGGCTTGGGGCTGGCTCGCCTCCCTCCTCCTGAGCACATAGTCATCCACTTGAAAATAGCGGGGTCGGACCCGCTTGTCATGGTATGCTTTGGTCTGCCTTTGGTAGTTTTCAGCTCTGATCGCAGCTACTTCGCGCCTGTCATCAATTAGGTGGAGGTCAATTCTATGGTGCTCCTCGTTTGTGTCGGGGTCGTAGTCCTCCTCTCGCCGAGAAGGTATGACTACCTCCGCTGGAGCTCGGGCTTCGAAACCGTAGGCTAAGGAAAAAGGTGTCTCCCCAGTAGCCCTCCGGGGGGTGGTGCGATAGGCCCAAAGAATAGCGTCGAGCTCCTCCACCCACACTCCCCCCGCGGATTCCAGTTTCTTTTTCACGCCGCCCACTATGGTGCGGTTGGCATTTTCCACCTGCCCATTTGCTTGAGGGTAGCACATGGCCACCCGGCTGTGAGTAATGTGCCATTCTGCACAAAACCCCTCGAATTGGCGTCCGTTGTCGGTGATGAGTTGCATCGGGACCCCAAAACGGCACAAAATGTTTTTGTACACGAAGTGCTTGCAGCGGGCGCTTGTTATGGTTGCCAGTGGTTTCGCCTCTACCCACTTGGTAAAGTATTCCACTGCAACTATGAGGTACTTCCTTTTTCCCGACCCCATGGGCAGAGCTCCCACTAGGTCCACTCCCCACCTGGAGAAGGGGATGACGGAGCTGATGGGGGGTGTAGCTCGTGGCTGACGGCCGGGGGCGACTTGGAAGTGCTGGCAGGTCTTGCAACTCCGGGCGTAGTCGGCTCACTCCTTGGCCATTTTGGGCCAGAAGTACCCCTGTAAGATGGCCCTCCGGGACATGGCGAAGGCCCCCTGGTGGGCTGAACAGGTCCCTTCGTGGATTTCCTCCATGACTGACCTGGCTTCGTCCGGGTATAGGCAGCGCAGCAAGGCGTCGTTATATGACCTCTTGTAAAGTATGTCCCCCATGACTAGGGGTGGGCACTTCGGTTCGGTTTATCCTTAGTTTCATGTTTTTCTATAAATTTAATGTGCTTTACCGTCATTCTAATTTTGATTTCCATTGCATTATAATTATTTTCTAGTACTGGAATATATTTCGAGTGCACTAGCAATGACATGTGTCCAAAAATTAACTATATAGTAATTGACACTTGTTCTTTTAATATCAACTATACAGATAGATGATTATTCATCTTATCAATAAAAATATTCCAACTAAATATTTTTATTTGATGTTTCATGTTTGTACTCTTTAAACATTGGATTTGAAGTTTGAACTACGTGATTCATGTTTGTAATGTTTGAACTTTGAACTTTGGATTCTAATTTCTAAGTATGTGATGTTTTGGTAATTAGATTGCTATTAGTATGTGATGTTAGTATTTACTATTTAGTAGTGTGTTTAAACTTTGAATTATTATTTTGTTATATAACGTTTATATTTTAGATGTGGATTATGTGAATAGGTATTGTTTGGTAGTATGTTTGGAAAATTATGAAATGTTGAAATTTGATATTGTAATTCTCGTAAAGTCTTAAACCGAACCGAAGCCCGAACCAAATTAAATCCGAATCGATACCAAACCGATTGAAACCGAACCGAAGCCAAACCGAACTATAATGTTAAACCGAATGGTTCAACTTTTCTAAAACCGAAAAACCGAAACCGAAACCTGAAAAAACCGAACCGAAGACGGAAGTGCTCAGCCCTACCCATGACCATGTACGTGGGGGCTCGCCGTTTTACCAACTTGGCGTCGACCTCGTCGGGAGGTAGTGTACCTGTCTTCTTGTATTCCTTGAGGTGGTCCAACCAGCAGGGAGGTCGGATTTGCACAGGTAGAACCGGGTAGGCGTCCAGGCTCGACCTCTTGAAATCTTCGATTCGGGCTATTTTTGAAATATGTTCTGGGGCCCCCTGGGCGAGCTTGGATAACATGTTAGCGTCTGTGTTCTGGTCTCAAGGCACCTGTAGGACCTTGTAATTGATCAACTGCCCCAACAGTTGGAGCACCACGTCCCGGTACCTTCTCATTCTTTCATCACTTGTTTCAAATTCACCTGTGACCTGTCCCACCACGAGTCTAGAGTCACATCGGATTTTGAGCTTCTCCACCCTCATATTTAGTGCGAGGCGGAGTCCCCCCCAGGAGTGCCTCATATTCGGCTTCGTTGTTATATAATTTGAACGCGAAGCAGAGGGCGTAGTAGGCCCGAAACCCCTCCGGTGTTATGAGGACGACTCGACCCCGACAGCTTTTGGTGCTGGAAGACCCGTCCGTTGAGAGGGACCACCACTCCTCGTCTTCATCCTGGACCCGCTCCGTTGCCTCCCGGGCAGTGCACTCGACTATAAAGTCAGCAAGCGCCTGCCCCTTGATGGCGGGTCGGGGCTTGAACTGGATGTTGAACTGGCTCAGCCGCATGGCCCACCTGACCAACCTGCTGGCCGACCCCGAGGCCCTCAGTATTGCATCTAGCGGCTGGTTGGTGAGGACCTGTACGGGGTGGGCCTGGAAGTAGTGGTTCAGCTTCTTTGCCATCACATCTACCGCGAAAATGGCCTTTTCCACGGGTGTGTACCTGATCTCCGTTCCCCATAGAGCTCGGCTCGTGTAATATACGGGCCGCTGGACCCCCTCGTCGTCACGGACCAGCACGGAGCTGACCGCGGCCTGCGAGATGCCCAGGTACAAATATAGGACCTCCCCCTTAACGGGTTTGGCCAGGGGGGGAGCGACATCAGGTACGTCTTGAGGTCTTCGAACGCTTTCTGGCACTCTTCGGACCACTCGAAGCCCTTAGTCTTTTTGAGGACTCCAAAGAACGGCAAGGACTTCTCGGCCGACCTCGAAAGGAAACGGCCCAGGGCTGCCAACCGCCCGTTGAGGCGCTGGACCTCCCGGAGGGACCTCGGAGGTTTCATGTCCAAGATGGCTTTGACCTTGTCGGGGTTGGGCTCAATGCCCCTATTCGAGACCATGTACCCCAAAAATTTCCTCCCGTGCACCCCGAAGGTACACGTTTTGGGGTTCAACCGTAAATTGAAGCGTTGCATAATTGAAAATACCTCGGTAAGGTCGTCCGTGTGGAGGTCGGCGTCGGTGCTCTTAATAATCATGTCGTCGACGTAGGCCTGTAGGTTGCGGCCGAGGACCTGCTTGAACACCTTGGCTACCATTCGGGTGTAGGTGGCTCCTGAATTTTTTAGCCCGAAAGCCATGACCTTGTAGCAATAGACCCCTTCTGGTGTGGCGAAAGCTGTCTTCTCCTCGTCGGCCTCCTCCATGAAAATCTGGTGGTACCCCCTGAACGCATCTAGGAAGCTCATAAGGGCACAACCTACAGTCTCGTCCACCAGCTGGTCGATGTTGGGGAGAGGAAAGGGGTCCATAGGGCAGGCCTTGTTGAGGTCGGTGTAGTCCACGCACATCCTCCAGGTGGGCGGCTTTGGGGCGAGGATTACGTTGGCCAGCCAGGTGGGGTATATGACCTCCCTAACATGACCAATCTCCAGCAGTGTGTCGACCTCCTTTTTGACGAACTCCCTCCTCTCAGCAGAGAGGTACCTTTTGCGCTGCTGGACTGGCCTGACCGCGGGGTCGACGGCCAACTTGTGTGTGATTACGTCCCGGCTGAGGCTCGGCATATCCTCGGGGCCCCATGCAAAGACCTCCTTGTAGCTCCTGATGACGTTAATTATCCATGCCCGAAGTTCGGCCGGGAGGCCGACCCCTACCTTCACGACCCGGTCGGGTCGGCTGAGGTCGAGGATGACCTCCTCTGTCTCGACCACGGGCTCGGCTCGAGGTCGACCTACTTCCTCCTGAAATGCCTTCTCGACGATGGTATGGACCTGGAGCTCCTTTTGACCAATTTGGCGGCACGCCTTCAAGTAGCAGCTGCGGCTTACCTTTTGGTCCCCTCGGGCGACCCCGACCCCGGCTGGTGTCGGGAACTTGAGGCACAGGTGCTCCATGGAAATTACGCACCTGAGGTCTTCTAGGGCGGGTCGACTGAGTATGATGTTGTGGGCGCAGCTGATTTTCACGACTACGAACTCGACCTCCTACTTCCTGGTGTGAGGTGGGGTGCCTATCTCCACCTCCAAATTGATCGACCCCTCCGTCTCAATTGAGTCCCCCGTGAACCCGGACAGGGGGCTCCGTACCTGCTCCAGCTGCCCTCTTGAGAGTCCCAACTGGGTGAACGTGTCGTAGTACATGACAATCACCGAGCTACCTGTGTCTACGAGCACCCGGTGCACCACCACGTTGTTGATGTCCAGCTTGACCACCAGGGCGTCTCGGTGGGGGAGGGGCCCATCTGGCAGGTCGGCGTTGGTGAACGTGATGGGCTCCCTCTTTGGTTTCTTCTCGTGGGGGGTACGTGTGACCTCCCCCACGTACAAGCTCCTCGCCCACTTCTTCCGCTCGGCTGGCGAGTCCCCTCCCTCGGGCCCCCCGCAAAGATGACGTAGATGGCCCGTTTCTTCGGGGGCTGGGAGTCCTCCGTTGTCTTCTCCTCCTTCTCGGAGCTGTGGTCATGGTGGTCCCTCTTACGGGGAGCCGAGGTGGATGGCGCCTGGCCACCCCCTTTCCTCCACACATTGCCCTGCTTCTGGCCCTGTGCCTGTCCCTGCGGCTGGCGGGGCTTCTTAATGAATTGGCCGAGGTAACCCATTTGGATGAGCTCCTCGATTTGTCTCTTTAGGAGGATGCATTCATCTGTATCGTGCCCCTTCTGCCGGTGGAACCTGCAATACTTGCTGGGGTCTCCCCTCGCCGATATCTTCATGCACTCCTCCAGTGGGAATACCACGATTTCTTGGTCCTCCGCGTGCGCCAAGATGGTACCCACAGGCTGTGTCAGTGGGGTGAGATAGCGTGTGGGGTTCAACCTAGGCCCCTCAGCGTACTCACATCGGTGTGGCCGCAGCGCCTTGCGTTCCTCCTGGGGTGCCTTGTCTTTTCGACCTCTTCATTCCTCCTGCTCCTTCTTCCTCTTCTCGGCAGCCACGGCGTCAGCGTACCTTGCTGCCTTGTCCATCAGGTCAGTATAGGTCCTGGGGGTGTACCTGATGAGGTCCTGGTGGAATGCGCCCGACCTCAAGTTGTTTCGGAAAATCACCATGGCCGACTTTCCATCACAGTTGGCGACCCCCATGGCCTCTTTCTTTCACTTGCTGAGGTACTCGGCTAGTGATTCCGAGCTCCCCTGCTTCAAATCACACAGGTCGGCAATTTGCTTCTTCAGCTGTATGCTGGTGGCGAAATGAGATAGGAACTGCCGAATGAGGTCCGCAAAGGTAGAGATGGACCCCGCCGGGAGGGATCCAAACCAATCATGCGCCTGCCCGTCCAGGGTGGCGAAGAACCCCCTGCATAGGATGGCGTTTGTTGCCTCGGTGATCATCATGGCGGCTCTGTACCTGGTCAAGTGTGCCCGCGGGTCCGTGGTCCCCGAGTACGCTTTAATGGTGGGAAAGCAAAAATCTCGAGTTAAGGGCTCCTCCATGATGGCGTTTGCGAAAGGGGAGGACAACACATCCTGGGGCTCTGAAGACCCGTCCCTCTCGTCGATCTTTTTCTGGAGCTCGTCCATCCTCCTCCTTAGCTGCTCAACCTCTCCTCGATGGGAGCTTGGAGCTCTACCATTCGTTTCACCCGATCGTTCGACCCGAGAGGCCTGTTCACGTCGAGGTGGGGCTTGGGTCCCCCGACCTGGTGACCTCCGCGAGCCTGCCTCTCGTCGCGACTGGGCTCGGGGTCCATGGCTTGGCGACCTCCGGGTAACTGATTGTCGTCGTGCCTGCCTGTAGGAGCAGGATTCTGCCGGTGGAGGCTCATTAGCGGCAGACCTTGGGCCCAACCTCTCTCGGGCTGGCACCCGGCTGCCCAGCCTCTCCATGGCGGGCCTGGTTTGGTTTGACCTCCTTCCTTCGTCCACCTGACGTCGGTCACGTCGTGAGTCCCCTCCTCCCCGCGTGTCCGTCCCGCGGGGTGAATTGACCTCCCCCTGGGTGGCAGGTGCCTGGGTGGTCGGGTGCTTGGACCGTTACGCCCCGGGTGGGGGGGGAGTTGGAAGAGATGCCGGCAGCCCTTGGTTGACGCCTGGGTCGGCAGGCATACGCACTCGGAGGTCCGCCACGACTCGGGCCAGCCCTGTGGAGGCTTGCTCGAAGACCGACATCCCCTCCCGGGTGAGGTCTAGGTCCTGAACAGGGGGGGGGGGGCGGTGCGGCTCCACCACTGCGGGGGTTGGTGAGCTGGGCCCTCAGATTTCCCCCCGACCTGGTGGTGGTAGCCGGTTGGATGCTGGGGGCGGTGGCCCCGTTGGGGCCGTTCCCGTTCGCGACGAGCTGGGTGTCGCGGGAACCGTTGGTGCGGCGAGAGTTGGATCTCGATCTCGTCATAGTAGCTGGTCGCGGTAGACCACTGGATATAGAACACGCTTGAGCTGGTACAGCAGCTCTCAACAAGAGCACCAATGATGGATTTAATTAACCCGGGGTCCACCCGAATCAATAAATCCGGATAAGAACGTAATATAATAAATAATAAATGAAATATAGAACGATGTCGTGAAGGTCGCTGGGGACCGTATATTATATTAATTGCCGTAGGATTTGGCTATTAAAGAGATTCGATAAGACAAAGTGTGTAATAATCGTATAACATAGAATGAATTGCCCTTTGTTAGGACAAGGAGGGGGTTTTTATACAAGCCAAACCCCCCAACCGCCTCCCGCTATATCGGGGGGGGGGGGTGGTTAGATCTCAACTTTGACCGGGCCCTGGTGGACCGGGTCGGGTCGGGTCCCGAGCTCGGGTAGGACCGAGCTCCACGTAGGTCGGCTTGGGTCGGGGCACCTCCATGGTGCTCCGGGTCCGTATTGGTCTTGGGCACCTCCATGGCGCTCCGGGTCCGTGTTGCTCCTGGGCTCCACCGTGGTGCTCCGGGTCCGTGTTGCTACCCCGGGTCGGGTCGTGGGTATAATATATCCATCACTGTGAACTCTCAACAATTGCATAAACATGCTTATAAATCATAACTTGGCAAATCTTCTTTGGCAAACATTTAGCAAGCATTCAACATGCACTTAAGCTCAAAATACTCAACATAATCTCATTTACTATAATCTAACATTCAAGAGGAACATGCTCTGTACACTTCCAAACAACTAGGATTCTTGGCAAAATTCTCAACAAGTCACAATAGACATTTAGGCATGCTTATCTAGCCAAACTTATCAAATAATGATCATGCTTCTTAGTTTAACAATTAAACAATGGTCATGCTCTTCAAACAATTAGCTAAGTCTGACACTTCGTATTTTCAATAACTGTAAACATACTCAGCATAATCGTTAGCAAACAACTTCACAAATTCTATTGTAAATTACTCATTTCTATTCCAAAATCAACGAAATCAAATTCTACTATTGCGTCGTACGATTCCGAGTGTCCGAGCCTCAAGGGCTCGCGAGTCCCGATCCGAAACGACACGTAGCTGAGCCACAAGGGCTCGGCCACTGCACAGATTTGGCCTGGCAGAGCTTGCGGCGGGGCTTGAGGATGCCCGTCGCTTAGCTCCGCCAAGCAACGGCTTAGGGTCACGGCCCTTGCCTAGGGCCGTGCCCTGAGGCCGCCTCTCCACGGGGCTGACCAACGGCTCCTGCCTAGGGCCGTTGGCTAGTCCGTGAACTAGCCTGGTGCACACTGTCTATGCACCAGAAGCTTTTCTTTTCACCTGCAAATGCAATTTCAAGCATTCAAACACTCTCAAATCGTCAACAACGCATCATAGATCAACAATAGATCACTTAATAGCTCAAACACATCAATATTCTAGCATTTCTACTCATTTCAATCACTAAAATATACTTCACAGAGTCTAGAAAGCTTATGGGAGTCCATGGGGTTATACCTTTGTTGTTTCCTCCTCTTTTTCTTGTGTGGATCCCTTTCCTTTCTTTCTCAGATGTTACCCTCCTTCACCACCTATTCCCTCAAGCAAACATACAAGTAAAGCTTAAGAAAGAACTCAGAGGTTGGAAGGCAGAAAATACAAGGTCTGAGAATGAGATGAATGAATGGTGAGGATGAAGGTAGAAACACTTACTGTGATTTCTCCTCTCTACTAATCTGATTTCTAAAGCTTTGGAGTGAAGAAGCACAATGAGGGGATCGGGAGAAACAAGGAGAACATGTTCTATTTATATGGGTGCAAAGTGGTAATTTGGCTTGGCTCCTTAAAATATCAAGCATGAGAATGTGAAATCTAGTGGTTTACCAAGCTTCATGGACCAAAGTCTAAAATCATAGTTTAAAAGAGTTTTAGGGTCAAAATGCATTTTCCCAAAAATACTTTCTAGACAACCACTTAGTTTAGGTTACTCATATTTCTCCCGGTTTCACTCAGATTGATTTTTGAATCAAAAACTTGGTACGTAATGTACTCAAAAATTTAGGATTTTGGATTTAAAATAAATCTCGGTGTTGAATTTACTTAAAAGTGGCTCAAAATAATTTATTCAAACACCGATTCTATCGCAAAAATTTTTATAAAGTGAAAATGGCTATTTTAGGATTTCTTAAAACCAAATTTAGAAAATTAAATTTTGGGTTGTCACACCTATTGCACCTGAAGATAAAGAAAAAATGACATTTACATGCCCTATTGACACTTTTGCTTATCGTAGAATGTCATTTGGGTTATGTAATGCACCTGCGACCTTTCAAATGTGTATGATGCCAATATTTTCTAATATGATTGAAAAATATGTTGAAGTGTTTATGGATGATTTCTCTCTGTTTGGTGATTCTTTTGATGACTACCTTGCTCATTTATCTTCTGTGCTTGAAAGATGTGTTAAAATGAACTTAACCTTGAGTTGGGAAAAAAGTAATTTCATGGTTAAAGATGGCATTGTTTTGGGGCATATAATTTCTGCCAGGGGAATAAAGGTTGATAAGGCTAAAATTGAAGTTATTTCTAAATTACCCCCCCCCCCCCCCACATCTGTGAAAGAAGTGTGAAGTTTTCTTGGTCATGCAGGTTTTTACAAGCGCTTCATAAAAGATTTTTCAAAAATTTGTAGGCCTTTGTGTAACCTGCTAGCAAAAGATGTTGTTTTCAAGTTTGATGATGAATGCTTGTCTGCTTTCCACTTTTTGAAAGAAAAATTAACTTCTGCTCCCATTCTTGCTGCACCTAATTGGGAGCAGCCTTTTGAAATAATGTATGATGCATCTGCTTATCCATAGGTGTTGTTTTAGGACAAAGAATTAATAAACTCCCTTATGTGATTCTTTATGCAAGTAGAACTTTGGATAATGTTCATGTTAACTATACAACTACAGAAAAGGAGTTGTTGGCTATAGTCTTTGCATTAGAATAATTCCGTTCTTACTTGATTCATTCTAAGGTGAATGTTTATTCTGATCATTCTGCTCTAAAATTTATGCTGGCTAAAAAAAAAATGTTAAACCAAGACTAATAAGATGGATTTTGTTGCTGCAAGAGTTTGATTTAACTATTAAGGACAAGAAAGGATGTGAGAATGTGGTAGTTGACCATTTGTCTCGTTTACCTGATGGAGTTAATAAATGTTCTGATTCTGATATTCCTATCAATGACAGGTTTCTTGACGAATAGTTGCTTTCTTTACAGAATAAAGAACCTTGGTATGCAGACATTGTCAATTATTTAGTCTTGGGTCAATTTCACCCAGGTTTAAATTCACAAGGGAAAAAAACATTTTCTTTCTAAAGCAAAACATTTTTTTTGGGATG